ATGAGTCATCACTACCACAATTCTCAAAGGCAAAATGTACAAAAGGCGATCAGTAAAGGACGTTAAGACTTAAGACATTGTTACACAATCTACTAGCAGGTTACACAACTGAAGATTCACTGAATTACTTCTGAGAACCACAAATTAACAACTTAAACGACTCGTATCAAATGTTGGAGACATATGTTAAAGGGTGGGAGAACATATGATCAGATATTTACCCTGACTTGCTGGGACAGAGCACTCAATCCAAAATCAGAAACTTTGAGGTTTCCAGAGGCATCCAACAGTAAATTCTCAGGCTGCATCATTAAAGAATGTCAAAATAAAGGTCGCAAAAACAAAGCCAGAAGCTTTAAGGCAAAAACAGAACAGAAATTAACAACTAAAAATGCTACAAAAGTAACACTTCCCACCTTTAGATCTCTATGGTAGACTCCCCTGCTATGACAATAATCAACAACATTAATGAGCTGCTGAAAATATTTCCTTGCTTCTTTTTCATGCATCCGTCCATGATTTACCTGTGTGCCAATAAAACAGATAATATCTTTAATCACATGCTAAGTCGCCAGAGAGATTTTTAAGTGCCGAATAGGTTTGAATAGCTTCAGAAGGATACATGAAAACTAAGTTCGCAATCAGTGAGAAACAAGTTTTGTGCTCTTTGGTCAAATTCTTTATCTCCTAGGGTAGGGAGGAGTGAATGAATTAGAAGAAAGGAAGAATCGCCCTTACAATTTTATCAAAGAGCTCTCCACCTGTAATGCATTCCAGAACAATGAATATCTTCGTCTTGCTACCCATCACCTGCAGGCAGATGAAAAGGATATGGATTCAAAGTTTAATATGTGAAACCCCAGCCGTCATCATAAGCCACAACGGCATCTTCTCTTTAGTACATTATTGCCGATTTTGATAACAAAAGTAGGTTATTGCCAGTATAAGACTTTTGCACGATTAACAGCCTTGTTAAAAACTCGAAGGACACAAAATATTCGATACTTGAGATGTTCGTCAACGGATTTGTTATATTAGGCAAGCATTTGGTATACAACATCCCAAAAAGTCTTTTAACAAAATTTTGAACATTTAACAGGAGAGAAAAATACAGGTCTGTTCCCGCATGGGAAATTTACAATTCCAGCTCCCTTTTGGGTAATTTTGACTTAAACTTTTCTAGCTCTCTCATTTTTCAAGATTTTGATGGTGCATCTCAAAAAGAGTATAACTCTTGAAAATTTGGAAAGTACCATATGAGTAGATCAAGAAGATTAACTAACTACTCCAGTATATTAGCCAATTCCACTGCAGTATATGGATACCAGCAAATTATCTGCATGCCAATATAGGTTATGTTAAAGGCCAGAATCTGTCTTAATGCATGTCAGTAATACTGAAAATACATGCTGTACAATGGACCTTGTTTTGTCCAAAATTGAGTCATAAATTCTCAACAGAATGCTAAATATGTTTTGCTAGGCCAGTTGGTTATCCCTCCGGTATAGTGAGTTAAAGACTTCTCACAAATTGTTGATGTGAAGATCTAAAGTGAAGTTCACAACATATTATGCATAACCAAATGCAAAGTAATGGGTTGCTTACTAATTAACCTAAAGGTTGGATGTACGGAAACCAGTGGCATAGGATCCAATTACACATCCATTATGATCACAGAGACCACATACATAGGCGCGCGCAAACACACACAAGCACATGCGCATTGACATAGAGAGGACCAACCTCGTATAATCGAACAACATGTGGATGTCTGATTAACTTCATTGTAGCTATCTCCCGCTTTATCTGTCAATTTATGAACAAGAGTTATAAATAGTTAACATTGCCAAAACGAATCAATCATTCAAAAAACTTAAAACTGTAAAAGGAAGGATAACAAATGGATAACAACTCAGTCGTCATGTCAGATGTCGAAGAAACATTATTCACATAGCGTTCATGTAATCTATGTTATGATTTGCAAGTGGATAACATCATACAATAGAAAGATATGAAAGTTCGAGAAAGCATAACGTATGAATATATTGAAGACTGACCTGCTCAGCCATTTTGTGTTTAAGGACCTTATCCTTATCAAGAATCTTGATTGCTACAGGTTCTCCTGTCTCTGAATTCCTTGCAAACTTGACTTTAGCAAATGTTCCCTCACCAATTGTCCTTCCCATTTCATATTTACCAACTCTACGCTTGATTTTTGCCTGATTCATTACTAAGATACAGGGACGATCCTCTAAAAAGTTCAGTCGCAATCCTCCTTAGAGAACTTTTTACTGCACAATGATTAAAACTTTGGTAAGACACCCGACTTCCTAGTTCCTAACATATATTACCCTCAGGTAATAGCAAACCATTGGAGTAAAGCAAATAAATCAGACTAGTCATCACATTCATTCCGTAAATTCGGACAGTTCTCAGACCAATTATAAAATTAAAATAAAACAGATATTCTAAAACAACTTGACTAACTGCGCATAAAAGCACACAACTAATGCTTTTATAATCACAAAAGTTTGTTTATTTACTTCTCTTATATGTTTAAGGAGAAGGGGCAAGAATCAAGGCGCAACACCATTTACTTAAAATAAGTCAATTATAATAGTATTACACTTCAAGGAAATGAATAAAGAAAAAAGTGAGACTTGAATTAAAAACAAAGAATTATTGATTCAATCAATAACCAAAACGACATTGGTCTCATTGTGTGTGTGTGTGTGTGTGTGTGTGTGTGTGTGTGTGTGTGTGTGTGTGTGTGTGTGTGTG